TTCTCAGAGAGCATAAGTTTTAATATCCAGGTGGGAAATATGACAGTAAAAGGCATGACAAATGAGTTGTTTGAAAAATGCATTCTAGACATGTAGAGGACCCATGGCTACATCTGCCCACTGCAAGGTCCTCTGAGGCCAGGCAGGGAAAATTGTCCCCAGCAGCTGCCCCCACTATTAAGGTCCACCTCTGCATCCTCCATCACCAGCCCACATGAAGTCTTCAGCCTGCCCAGCACGATAGCAATGTGAGGGAATCGGGTGGGGTTTTGTTCTACCCCTTTCTATCTGAACACATTTTATTTGGGGGAAGAAGCCAAGGAGTAGGGGCCTGAGAGATGCGGCATCAGCTGAGCATAAAATGTTAATATTTTCCTTACCTCACACATCTGATTCTCCAGTTTGCACATGCTTTTTTCCACATATCCTTTGAAGCTCTTTGAAGACAAAGAAGCTCTCTATCCTTTGCCCAGAAAAGTTCCACATGCAAAGAGGTCCTTTCAAGTGAGCTTTTAATCACACCAGAGACAAGTTTGCCCTGTAGTTTCCTGTATGTGGCTGGCATACTGCAGACCATGTTATTCTCAAATTGAAGATGTTATCTCCCAATCCCTGCAGATTATGTGTCTAGATATCTTAGAATAGAAGGGATGTGCTGATAACCATATTAAAATCATAAAAATATCATTATGTTTTTCAAGGTAGAGTCAGGTTTAGTTAATCAGAATTGGTTTGCAAGATTCCATTTGTTTCTGTGTTTAAAATAGTGTCAGGTTGACAAGTCTTTTGTTCTCACACTATCACATTGGCTTCTGTTCTAATCTGTGTGATACCAGGACAATACAGATAAGCTAAACGTGGTTTAATCAATTCTGACTCTTCTGATCTGACTGATATTTTTGCATGGATTTTGATTAATCAGAAATGTATAGAATATTCATGCCTCATCCCATAGTTATGACAGGTGCAGACTTTGGTTTTCATATGTTCAGAATGATGCCACAATTCAAAGTGTCCCTTTCATCTGACATACTACTAATTGAATGATTTCTTTTATTATTTGAAATAATGGAATAGCCTGTTAGCTTTATACTTTTGAAATAGGTAATGGGAAATGTGGTTTAGAAAAGTTTCTGTGAAGTGTTATGAAGGGTAAATATATTTGTAATAACATAATTCACATGCTTTCTCAACACAAGAGAATTTCTGAAGATTTTTTTGACTTGAGAAGAATAATGAAGAAAATATCCAAAATGGACTCTATGGCAAATATCAAATGATTCAAATAGATATAGGAGGTGGAAAAAATATACGGGAGGCGCATATTCTTTCACCTACAGAGGGAGTGTATTTTTCTGTTCTCCATTGGGACCTTTAATTCCAAATCCCTAAAAACACTGCCACAAGGAAGGGTAGAGGCATGGGTGGACAGAATGGGATCTGGTCTTAAACACAGGGCAGATTTCTAGTTGTCTCATCAAAAGCAAACAGACATTTTCTGCTCCATCTGGGGATGCAGAAAGCTGGAAAGAGTATCACACTCATCCTTACAAAAACAGTAATAGCATAATAGCAGCAAACACAGCAACAACAGACACACAAAAAAAACCAGACAAATAGCAAATCCACATCTCTATTTCCCCTATCAGAGAGGTAAGGAATGACAGGTGCTTACAAAGACAGAGGAGGTGAGAATATTTTCTTACCTGGGATACATGCACCTGGACACTAGTAAGAAGAACTTAGCTAAAATTGTTAAGTCGGTGAAGACTGAGTGCAGGTCAGCAAAGCCTAAGTAAAGGTGAGTAATGTACAGAAAACAGGATTGCCAGGGGCTTTAGATTTTTACCCTCTTGTACACTCTTTTCTCTTAGCTTCCCCATGTGCTCACAAAAAAATAATGGTGAGGGTCTTGAGAAAGCATCCTTTGAAGGGCATGCGTGCAGGAGGTGAATGGCAGCGCTGTGGGAAAGGGAGGACTCCCTTCTCCTTGATCCTTCCCCTACCTCCCCTATGGAACATAAGCCTTAAACTTTAGGAAGAAGGACCACAAACATGGTCACTCTTAAGTACGGTGAAAACCCAGCAGGGAAGAGGCAGGAATACTGAGAAAGCAGTGAAAGCCCGTGAGACTCAAGGGCACAGTGACTGTGTAAGTCTGTCATATTATCTGAACTTTAGAAGCCCCTGTCAACATCACCAGGCTAACACATGTCAAGTAGTGGGGGCTTCTGCAGGGAGAATTGCAATAGTGTGGAAAGAGACTGTCTCTGAGGTGCAGCAAAAATGGATGACCTAATGCTAAGGGTAAGGCAGCCACTGAGAAAAAGCCCATGATGAACCAGCCCCGATTTTCCACACAAGTCATCACTAGAGGCATTTGAAACATGTGGTGCATTGTGGGTAGCCATAGCAACAATTAACCCTAAACACAGGTCACATCCTTATTGGATTCATTTAAAACGGTAAAGGACTAGCGTAAGAAAATTATGCCCATTTTCAGCATAAAATTACTTGTCTCGGTCTCTACTGTTCTACACAAGATGTCCAGCTCTCAACAAAAAGTTATAAAGCAGGTAAAACAAAATAAGGGAAAACAACACACTGCAAAGAGACAAAGCAAACAACAGAACCAAACTCAGATAGGACACAGATGTTGGAACTTTCAGACAAAGAATTCAATATAACTATGATTAATATGTTAAAGATTCTAATAGGAAAGGAGGACAATATACAAGATAAGATGGGTAATTTCAGCAAAGAAATGAAAACTATAAGCACAAGTCACATAAAAATGCTTAAGTGAAAAAAGTATAGTAACAGATCCTTCAGTATTGCCTTCAAGAGCCTCATCAGTAGACTCAACACAGCTGGAGGAAGAATCAGTGAACTTGAAGATATGTCAACATAAATTACAAAAACTAAAACACAAAGAGTAAAACTAATGCTAAGTAAACAAATAGAACAGAGCATCTAAGAGCTGTGGGACAATAAACGGTTTAGCACAGGTATACTTAGAATCCCAGAAAGAGAAGAGAGAAGAAATAGTGGCTGAAAATTTCCCCAAATTAGTGACAAATATCAAATCGCAAATTTAAGAAACTCTGAGAAGACCAAGCAAGATAAACACTAACCACGTACACACATACACACGCTCTCTACCAGCATCAGATCCAAAGTGCTCAAAACCAAGGGAAGGGAGAAGAAATCTTAAAGGCAGCTAGAGAAAAAAAAATACAATACAGATAGACAAACAAAGATCAGAATTACAATAGACTCCTTGTCAGAAGCTATACAATCCAAAAGACAATGAAGTGACAATGGCACCAAAAGGAAAAAAAAGAAACTGTCAAATTCAGAATTCTACCCTGGAAAAAATATCTTCTAAAAATGAAGGAGGAATAAAGAATTTATCAGACAAATAAAAACATAATATTTATTGCCATCATATGTGTCCTGCAGGAAATGTTTTTAAAAGGTCTTTAGGCAGAAGGAATATGATATCAGACAAAAACTTAGATTGATACAAAATTAAGAACTGTGGTATGGTATAAATTCCCATTTTCACTTTTAGCTTCTCAAAAAGATAACAGAGTATCTAAAGCAAAAAAATCATAATTTGATTCTCAAAATGAATGCAAAATTTTCTTGGCAAAATCCAACATCAGTCCATGATTAAAACCTCCCAGGAATCTAGGAATAGAGGGGAACTCTCTAAAGATAAAAGGCATTTACTGGGAGCCTACAGCTAATATCATATACGGAGACCAACTGCTCTCCTCCTATGATGGGGAACAGGCAGGAATTTCTTCTCTTACCACTTTTATTCAACATTGACTAGAAGTCCGAGTTAGGGCAATAAGGTAATAAAAAGAAATAAAAGACATACAGATTAAAAAAGAAGAGATAAAATTCTCTGTCACAGATGATATGATTACCTATTATGAAATTCCAAAGAAACTACAAAGAGGTCCTAGAACCAACAGGTAGTTCAGCAAGGCCACGAGATACATGGTCAATAGGTAAAAATCAATTGTATTTTTATATATAAATAATAAAAATGAGAATTTGAAATTAAAAAACAACAGTATCATTTACAATTAGCACCAAATGCAGGATCCCTATCTTTAAAAAACTACTGATGAGAGAAATCAAAGAAACCTAAAGAAATGGAGAGATAAACTGTGTTCATGGGTTGACTCAATATTGCTGATATGTCAGTTCTCCCCACACTAACCAAGGGAATCAAAGAAATTTCAGTGAAAATACCAGGAGGATATTTTATTGATATTGTTAAGTTGTTTATAATATTTATATGAAAGAAGAAAGCAACGAGAATAGCCAAAACAATTTTGAAAAAGAGGAACAAGGTTGCAGGACTCACACTAGGTGATTGCAAGAATTACTATAAAGCTATGGTAATCAAGACAGTGAGTTATTGGCAAAAGGATGGACACTTAGATCAGTGGAACAGAAGAAAGATTCTAGAAAGAGACTCACACATCGGTGAGAACTGATTTTTGACAAAGGTACAAAGACAATTCAAGAGAAATGATAATCTTTTTGAGAAATGGTGCTCAATCCCTATACAAAAAATTTTACTTTGACCCATACTTCCGTACCTACTATAAAACTTAACTCAAAGTGGACCACTGACCTACAGATAAAATGTAAATCTATAGAATTCCTAGAAGTCAAAGGAATAAAATCTATGTCAAATTATACTTGGTGAGTAATGGTTAGATTATGCAAAATGTTAAGTTCCTCTCCTATCATGGGATTCTTCATATCCCTGAGCCTCCTCTGAGTACCTGCTCATAGAGTACCAAGTCCACATGCAGAAGTGGCACTTATTGGCCCCCCAACAGATGCAGGTCATCATGACTGTGTGGTGAACAGATTCCTTTCTATTGCCCATCTTTTCCTCCACATCTGTCTAGTTCCACTTGGCTATGAGGTTCTCATTCCACACGCTACAAGAAAAGTAAATCACAACAGACCTAAAAACGTGGATTTTCTCAGTTGGCTCTTGCTTCTGTCCAATTTTCCTTCCTTTGGGACCCCTCTGTGTCAGTCACTGGCTGATCAGTCTTCGCACCAGGTCCTGATTTAGTATAACCTGCAATTTTGATGAACACACAAAAGGATTCACTCCCTCTTCCAAATTAATGATGAAAGCGTTAAATAAGGCCATTCCCGACAGCCATCTCTGTACCTTCCTACAACAAGATACTTTGCAATTTATCAATAACCTTTCCTTGTGATCTTGTAGCTAATTTTGCAAATAAAATTTCCTGAGACATATCAAATCTTTACCAACATTATATGACATCTCTTGTATTTCCCCTTCATCTATTCATAACTGTCAAAAAAAGCTGTTGTGCTGGCATGATTTGTTTCTTTGAAGCCCAAGCCACTTATTGTTCCTGATATCATCACTTTCCTGCTACTTAACCACACACGTGCATGCGCGCACACACACACTCGCGCACACACGCAATTATTACAGCTGGAACTGATGTTTACAGGATGATAATTGCCTCTATCTTTCTTTTCTTCCTTCTCACTTTGAGGAGCAGGCTATGTTTCATATTCACAACGGTCCATTCATCTCATAATTTCCCTGATTCTACACCAAGTGCTCAGCCTGCTTTTCTATGATTACTAAGTGAATCTTATCAGGAGGACCATTCTCTGGATCTTGAGCTACACCCTGAGTAATACGGGCCAACGTCAAGAAGGTCCCTACCCCCTCACAATGTGTGTGGAGGGGAGCACTTTGCAGGCTCCAAAAGGAAAGCACAGGGATACGAGGTTCTGCCGTTGGTGGAAATATTTTTGTCTCAGGGAGTTCCTATGGAGATACGGGGTTTTAGGAAATGACACGCATTATAGAAATCACAGAAATCAGTTAAGTATAGAAGTCCTACCTTGTTTACATGTGACCCAAAATAAATTTGAGGAATCTGGCCATCTTAAACCTCTAAATATTTGACTTATTTTGGTGTCTTGTCTTTTTAAGAAAAGAAATTGACATTTATGGAAAGTCTATCCTGGGGCAGACATTCTTTCAGCTCTCATTTAGTCCACATAACAACCCTTAATATATATGTTATTACCCCCATCTTATAGATGATGTAGAGTCTGTGGTTCCGTGGTTATGCCTCAGGCCACACGGCAAAAGATGGATTTGCAGTCTGTGTATCCTCAGAGGCCTGTCACTCTACACAATCCATACCGTTCTCTATTTTGCAGAAAATCATTCTGTGACTGTAGATAAGTCTCTGAACTACTCTGACCTCAGTTTCCTCACCTGTGAAAAGGAGAGATTGGATTAGCTCAGGGCTGGGATCTCTGCCTGTTCTAACACTCTAAAGCCTTGAAGAATTTGACCTTAGGCAAGAGAAGACCTCACTGTATTTCCTAAAGGGAAATACTAATTTTAAAAATAGAAAAAAAATACCGAGAGAGAGCAACAGGAGGTGGACAGTATTGGCCTAAGTAAATGTGCATGAGGTTAATGGACATTCAGAGCTAAACAGCGAGAGGGAATTTTAGAGTTTTAGGATGCACGAGGAACTGAGGTTCCCATTAAAGTTGCTTCAGACGTCTGAACAGAAAAGATGGGAAATGCTGAGATTGAAAAGTCTTTGACTTCTGAACCCCTGACTCCAACTCTTGAGTTGTAGTGTCTCCCCAGGTAATCCAAGAGACTTCCAGAGATGGGTTTTACTGAGCAAGGTCCAAGCTTCCGAAGAGCATAATTCCATTTACTGATATTTTCAGGAACCTCCATTACTTACAGAATTTAAATTACTAGCATGTCCTTCTCTTCTGTTTTATATCCCTCTCCCCTACCTTTACACAGAGTAGAAAAGATGCCTTTTCACATAATTTAGTACTTTCTATAGACAGAGAAGTGACCTAAAGTTATAAGAGGTGCTATTACTCATGTGATTGACTATGTTCTCCCTCCTCCCTCCTCTTTCTTTTTCTTTTTCTTTTTCTTTGTTTTTTGAGCAGAGTTTTGCTTTCAGGAGTTACCATGTCCCATCTGTAGCTACTACAAACAGGATCATACTTTAAAGAATTCAATGGTGGTGGGTATTGAGGAGGGCACATTCTGCATGGAGCACTGGGTGTTATGCACAAACAATGAATCATGGAACACTACATCTGAAACTAATGATGTAATGTAGGGGATTAACATAAGAATAAAAAAAAAAGAATTCAATGGGCACAACTTAAAAATGCTCTGTATTTCCACGGGGTGAAGTCCACCTAACTCTTTTGAAACCCTCTGACGGACCAAATACTTTAAGCAAGTGCTCATTTCTTGACAGCTTGGGTACAACGAAATCTTCTAGGACAGAACCCTGTGCATTTTTGGATGCTAGGTGAGGAACGGAGAAGTGTGGGTTAGCTGGTAAAAAAACAAAAAAAAAAACCAACAAAAAACTCAAGGCCGAAGGACCCCTTCAATCATATTATAAAACTGTATGTATTAAAAAAATTGAGATTCAAGTTATTTTCTGACTTGATTGAACCAGAAACTCTCAGCAAGAGCTTGATTTCTAGCCCATTATCCAGACCAAAGAGGTTTGGATGAGCTTCTGTTAAGTATGCAGTTCTGAAGCCCTCTGAATTCTGCTCATCAACGGGAAAGGCATGTTGCAGATGGCAAGCAGAGCTGCTTCTGTGTCCTCTCATTTCCACTGTCTGGGCCATCAGCTAGCAGTGCACGGCATTCTAACACACAGCGCCAGCCCAGCGCCCCTTCCTGGAACGGCTACTCTGCTACTCCCCGTGGTTACTTCTCGGGGCTGGGAGCACAGAGGGATGGCAAATCGAGCCTCACAAAGGCCACTGCACTCGTATTACGTCAAGTGTCTCACAAAATGCTGAGCTCCAGAGCACAGTAAAATGCCTGAGGCTCCTGTGGTGGCCGACCTTGCTTAATGAGTGCAACACACACATATTGGGGGACCCCCTCACCTCTGTTTCTTACCAGGCTCTGGGCTGACAGATGTGAGGGCTCCGGTCCATGAAAAGCCTGCAGGGACCGCTGCCATAGCCCGTGCTCTGGTCAGGCAAACGTGCCCAGAGCCCTCGCCAGGCCTCAGTCTCGAATGGCCTCCTCATGTGTGCCCACTTCAGGAAGCTCGCTGGGCCTGTTACTCATGCAAGTGTGGGCCCTAAGGACACCTTTGCCGGCAAAATGTAAGAGGAGTTCTAATTTCCCTCCCCTCCAGTTCCTGAATCTAGAGGGTCAGGAGAACTCAGACAGTTGCTTTTTACCCCCAGGGCTTCAAAATGCACGTAGTTCCTAGCTCAGGCCTAAGGGTGATTTGTTCTTTATGAATAGTCAAGGTGTCAGTGCTCAGTATAAACATATCTTAAATTGTAGATAGGATGCCTTTTTTATGAAAAGTTTGGGAAACACAACTCTGTAGAATGTGCAGATAGTTTCAGTAAGTGTGTGTGTGTGTGTGTAGCATAAGTTTTGCATGCTCTTTTAGAAAAATTATAAAATTATGAGATACCAGTAGATACCAACAGAAATAACGAATGGGGAGACTGAGTGACTCAGTTGGTTAAGCGTCTGCCTTCAGCTCAGCTCATGATCCCAGGGTCCTGGGATTGAGCCCCGCATCAGGCTCCCTGCTCAGTGGGAAGCCTGCTTCTCCCTCTCCCTCTGCCTGCCGCTCTGCCTACTTGTGCTCTCTCTCTATCTCTTTGTCAAATAAATAAAAAGTCTTTAAAAAAAAAAAGAAATAAAGAACGTGTGACCCCAAATCCCACTATTCAGAGTCCATTTAATGGTTAATCTTCTAGACTCTTTTGGTTGCCCATACATGTGCATCTAAATTAAGAATGTAGACATCTTATATTAATGTAGGGCCATATTTTGATAGAAAATTGGACAGCCACTTGCAGAAGAATGAAACTTGACCATTCTCTAACACCATACACAAAGGTAAACTCAAAATGGATGAAAGACCTCAATATGAGACAGAAATCCATCAAAATCCTAGAGGAGAACATAGGCAGTAACCTCTTTGACATCACCCACAGCAACTTCTTTCGAGATACATCTCCAAAAGCTAGTGAAACAAAAGCAAAAATGAACTTTTGGGACTTCATCAAGATAAAAAGCTTCTGCACAGCAAAGGAAACAGTCAACAAAACAAAGAGGCAA